CCACGACAACCCGAACCCCTCCCCCGCGATCCTGCCCACGAACGCCCCCACCCCACAAAAGCCCAACCGATTGGTCCTCCGTGCTCACAAAAGCATTAATCGAATTAGTTTTGCTTCGCTGGTGCTGGTTGATTAGAGGTTTAAATAAATCGACTTGAATTTTATTAACGTTGCTTCCGATGTTGAAAACCACGAAGTGCTGCGCTGGCGCACAAGGGCGCAGCCCCTAAAAGTTTAGGGTTTAGGGTTTAGGGTTTGTCACTTACTGTTGGTATGATACTTCCGGTGGGAGGCCGCTGCCTTGGCCCTTGTTGCTCCACAGCTCCCTGGCCCAAAGCGACTTGGGGTGCCTACTTGGAGGATCATGGGACTTAGTGACTAGGGTTATAAATAAGGTAACTATACTTATAACCCCAATTAGGGTACTTACAACCCTACTTACTAAGTCCCATGATCCTCCAAGTAAGGAGAAGCTCGAAGCTGGATCCTAAGTGCAGAAGCAAACCGGAGCACCAAATCCTTAAACCCTTACAAAAAGTTGAAAAATGTAAGTACGTACGGAATATACCTATAATATATTTGTCTATCTATCGACCTACCTATCTACGTATCTAGCTAGAAACCCTCCACAAAAAAAACCAAAGGAGCCTCTGGCTGAGTCGTGGGGTTTACGATGTGGGATCTGCTGTTGGGTCTGGTGTTTTGGGGCTTTCTTGTCGAGGGCTGCATCGCAAGCCCCAAGACCCGCACACTTTTGAGTTGAAGGTGTGCTGGCACTGGCACGATTCGGGCTTAGGGTTTAGGGGCTTAGGGTTTAAAGGGTTTAGGGGTTATTAGAACCCTGAACCTTAGACCCATTGTAGTTGAAGTTACATTCCCTAAAAAGTTGCTCAAATCGCAATGGTCCCGAGACCCTGCAAACCCGTAGAGCCACTCGAAATACTGATTGGTTCAGGGCCCCCATCTCAGGGATGCGGTTGATGATGCAAATCCTGCATTACCCATAATAAAGAATGTACCAGAATTCCGGTAGTTTGAGGTCCTTAGGGTAACGCAGGGTTTATATCATCAACAGTAGGTCATGCTCCGGGGCTTCAGATTGACACTTGTCGAAGTGCGGGGGCTTGAGGTTTGGGATTTAGGAGTAGTTTGGGGTGACGACGGGTTCAGGCTGTAAGGTTGCTCCGTCTCTGATCTACCCTTACCTAGGACTGCTGTAAACAAAAAGATATATATTCACAAACATTCGCGTATGTGTATATATATATATGTTCATATTTACACTTCAGGGATATAAGTAAGTAAATAGAATAAATAGAATAAATAGAATAAAAAGAAAATAGAATATGTGTATATATATATATATACACCTAAAGTTCCCATTCGAACAAACCTTTGCCATGTGACGGCTTTCCACATCCAAGGTGCTGTTTGCGCGTTGGGGTGGCTGCTTGACCGGATTATTTGGGGAGTCAGCATCCCTGAACCCTAAACCCTAAACCCTAAACCCTAAACCCTAAACCCTAACCAGCAGCACAGGTTTTGCTACTAAAAGACCACAAGGATGATTGAAGAACAACAAGTGAAGGAAGCCTTCGTAGTTGGGCCATGAACCTGGTCTGATTTCCAAACCCTCTGCAAACCCTAAACCCTAAAGTTTAGGGCTTTTAGGGTTTAGGGTTTAGGGCCCAAACCCGAAACCCTAAACGCCGCTTGAGATTCGGAGATTTTGTGGAATGGCCCGAACCCAAGTGTTCGGCTTAGGGCTCAGGGCTTTAGGGTTGAGGGTAGTAGGCCCCAATCTCTTAAAACCCGAAATCCGAAACGCTAAACCCTAAACCCTCCTAAACCCTAGGGCCCTAGAGAACCCTTAAAGGAACCCGACTTATAACCTACCTTCTATCTCCCCTAAAGCCTCAAAGCCCTAAACCCTAAGCCCCTAA